ATTACTATCGGATCAAAGAACTGCTAGATGATGATTTAGATCTTATCTTAAATAAATAAGCTGAATTGAATAAAATAAGCCATTTAGAATCTGACTACCAAAATATCAGATGAGAACAAAGAAAACAACATGATGTTATTTGATCAACTTTCCCCAAAAAAATTACAAACAACTAAATGAGATGGTCTTGTTTCATGAAGGTCAGATAAGTATTGCTAGGAAAAATTAAATCAGTGAATAATAAATATCTGTATATGCACTTGCAACGGTTTATTCATAAGTTGGACAACGAATTTATAACTAACTGGATAGATTCAAAGTGAAAAAACATGAGGAAAGACCGCAGTTTGAAAATATTAAGTGAGCAAAAGAATGGAATAGTTTGAATGGAATAGAGATAGGATAAACATATATCATGTAAATTGAGCAAATAACTTAAAGTCCTCTAAATTTAATAATCTTTTGATCCCACGCCTATCTCCACAATACCAAATAGGAAATCACAGGGTGTGGAGTGCACTGATGATCCAAATAGCCGAGTTCAAAAACTAAAATCCCTACATATATTATAGACAATATAGATTAATATATATTTTGGATATCAATTCAGATTTAAGGACCTTATACATTCATCTTATGTGAACATATGTTTATTTCTAGAAAGAAAAACCGATGCCACAATACTGGGTTAAATACAAGGCAAAGTTTGCTTTTTATAATACGAAAGAAACCCAGTGATAGTGAATTTCTTTACATACTTGTCTTTTTGGAGCTGAAGGCATGCATTCCTGGTCATCAAACTGATTAGACAGACACCAATAAGATCCTTTGCCTGGTTCGTCTCGAGAGCGTGGTATTTTGGTAAAAGACTTATTAAGTGACAAATTGTGACGAATAGAATTCTAGGATAAATCAGTTTACAAATGAATGTATACCTTCCAGCCACTCCCAGCTTCACAATAATATGGAAAGTTATCGCAGATCCATTGATAAATTTCACTCAATGTCATTTTCTTTTCCGTCGTACTTTGTATAGCACATGTTATCAAACTCGCATAGCTATAAGGTGGTTTACTATCCGGTTGGTAGGGCGTGGACCCACAGTCAGACTCCGTTTTATTATCATCTACACTCACGGAGTCCCAACTGTCCATTTCAAAAGGAAATTCACTTTCAATTGAAGCTGTTAACATGCTTATACTGAGATTTGGAAGCCAATCTATGGCGGTCAGACTATTATCTGGGTCTGTCATAATCACCAGGTTCAACCCATTTCAAAGGAGTAAGTTTATATCACCAACGTTCTAAACAAGGCATTGGATACCAAAGCATAGGTTCAATATATGCTATTTCACTGTTAGGCATTAGTAATTACACTTATTATTCAATTAGCTTTCATATTTGAAAAAATTCATTTAAGTGCAAACAGTTGCTTAGTCAGAAGGTTTTCCCACCTCGAACTTAACTTGACAGAATTAGCATTCACTTTGTTCCCTTGAATCTGCGTCTTAAGGGTAGGAAAACATTCTCGATTATGAGAAAGTATGGTTTTGGTTATAATACTTCCGGAAATGGTAGATAATCCTAATGGAAGCGATTGTAAAGGACAAAAATCACCCTTCGAACTTACGTAACTAAAGTAGACGTCGATGTCATTAATATCACTCGTAAAATAAAGTTCCCTAATTTTAGGGATTTTGACCGCAAAAACGTTTGTATGAATTAAAATCAGAGGTCTTTATAGCTCTATATGAAATGAATGTCCTCACAAGTATGACTGAATACCAAAATGAATTGCTGATCTATTATTGTGAATTGGATTATGAGCGATAAAAAACAACTCTAATATTCAGATTCAAAGCTTCCAAGCGAGAGGGTTTGACCTTATTTTCGGCCTGGATATCTGTTTAATTGCATTTCTTTGGACATGCTCCAAGAGAGTGATATCGTTCTCAAGGTAGGGGAATTTACTTTAGGAATACTTAAGTAAACATTAAAGACGGTTTCAATCATTTCCGGAGTAAGATCACCCCATTCTCTAAAGGGAACTTCTATTGTTTTCAACTATGTTCAAAGTTTGTGTTTCAAAGAGGGAAATTAGACTCAAAGTACTGTGCCCCCTGTGGATATCCTTAGAAAAATGTAAAAATTCTTTAGGAAAATGTGGAGACAATAGTTTTCGAGATACGGACCAAAAATTATGTGTAATTTTAATGTGCCTTATCACTTTTAAAGAAAATTGGAATGAATACTTGTCTAAGATCACAGAAATTCACCCCAAATTTTGATCTGATGATTAAATACTCAAGAGGATTCATCAACTCTATGTACTCGCAATCCGTCAGAATGAAATGACTTGGAACGTGGCGTGGTCTATAGTTCCGTTTTCTTAAGTTTATACAACTGGATAATCAATTCAGAACATGAGGCCTGATGGGAAATTTTAGCATCAGATGTATTGACTTAATCTTATTGGCTAAGTTATGCTCAGCTGCCCGAATAGTATTTACTTCGCTGTATGTGAGTCCTTCGAGTTTTCCTTTGTTTGTTTACCTGCCCATCTGTTTACCTATTAGTTATATTTCATCATGATAATGATGGATTTTATATTGAAACTCGCTGATCAACTGACACTAGACAGTTCCATCTTGATACGATGTAGATTAGATCAGTCTAGCGCAATTTCGGAATAATTTCACTATGTTACAGTTGCTGGATATCCTACCATAAAACAACTCCTGATAATCCTAGCACCAACACGGTTTTTACACTGACTCAATTACAAAGAGTTTTAATTATAGCGTTAATCCAATTAAACTATTATTGTAGTTAAATTTTGTCCATTCAATCTCACTAGAGTGTGAATAATTCCTACCACTGAACATACTAGTTAATTAAACATACATTCAGGAGCGCTCATACCCCAACGCCTGCATAAACCTTCCGTTCTCAGTCATCAATTTGGAGTTAATCAATTTAAAGCTTGACCATTTCAAGTTTTGATACTTAACTTCATAGAAATATCAAGCTTAATTCTAAGGAACGGCGCTTTGCAACAGATAAATAGAGCTCCTCTTTCAACACCTCATAAACCAAAACGGAAAGGTTGTCAGTCATGAGTGGTGATAGGAAGCATATGTAGTATTCCCTTTCATGACCCTTGGGGTTATAGTAGATGTTCAGTATTCTTCTGGGAAAACCAGCAGAAAGTTTCAGTACTGCATAATCTAAACCCATGAACGTTTATATGTGTCTTTGAGTGCTGTTTTGTGTCGCAAATTGAAATTGTCCCCCCTTCACGTCGTAGTCTAGTCCCAAAGAGTATTGACAATTTTCGTAATGCCTGTAACGAGTATAACGCGGACCAAAATTTGTCTTTCATGTTGACTACCTCCAACCACCATCTAAACTTCAAAATGGTCTGTTAGATTTGTTTCAGGCAGGAAAATCAACAACCTAGCCACCCAATAAATCAACATCGTCCATCGAGTTTCAAACTATGAGATCAAAGAGGTCTTATCGGACGGTTTAGACACTTGGTCCTCAAATGGTTAGTGTTTAACCTTAGGGGACCTCAATGCACCTAAAGTGGACCAGCAAATCTGAGGAATGAGTAGCCAAAAACTTTGTTCGAACGAAGTTCAGTTGGCACGATTACTATATGTCTCCAAGTGCAACACGTTAAACAGTTAACGAGGTACTTCCCGGACTCTGAACCATCTTCACTAGGAGCTTCTCACTTCTCTTCGTAACAAGAGAAGAATGTTGGAGAGATTTAGTTTACTGGGTACTGACGAGACAAATCTCAATATTGGAAAGGTTGAAACATTTGTGCACCAACTATCCACAAGTCAAGGGGGTTGTATGCAAAAACAGCTATCAAAGAAGTCTATAGAACATCCCAACCTTTTATATTCACACATGAACCAAAATCAAAGTGGAGAGAAAGAATGCAAGTACTATGGGCAGACAGTAGTACCACATCTGTAGAGAAAGACGATTATGGTAATGCTCAGGTATTCTCAAGTTTTTTTAGCAATCTATATATCGTGGAAATGCTCTACCCTTCAGTCCATACAACCACGTCATAAACACTATGGGCGTTGTGATCAGTGAAGAACTCGGTATCTTCGAACTGTCAAGTAAATATGATAGCTGTAGATCCATGTGACCCGATAAAATTCATACTGGATTACCAAAGAAACTGCAAAATTTTGTTATAAATCCCCAAATTACATATTTTAGTATATCTGTAACCCAAGAAAGATTACCAAATCACTGGAAGAACAACATAATACGCCCAGTCTTCAAGACATGTACGATATAAAATGACTTTCTTAGTCTCCTATCATCGTCGCTTTTGTTTATGCATATGGATAGCCAATCAGAAGTCGAATGAAAAAGTCAATCGATAGCAGTCAGAAGTGGCATAAAGGGTCAAGTGTATTTCACTGGGGTCCAAATGGGTCAGTTTCCTGAGGATAGACTGCGATAAATATGAATGAGTATTTGTGCATTTGATTCACTTATCCAGTACGATTTCTCACTCATTCTTGTGTTCCCGCCTAAATAGTTACTTGGGGTGTTTTCTCACAGCTCTCAAAATAAAGTTGGATCAACTGAAAATTTGCCATTGTTAAGACCTACACAAGACACCAAGCCTGCTATCCATTCCAAAATGATATGAATATTATTAGGGTAATAACAGCGTTATATAAAGTACCTAATACGTGTCACGCTATCCAACCAAAAGGAAATGTCATAAGTTCATTGAAGTTGTCAGTATGTTGCTGACTTACCACAACCACAAACGTCACAACTAACAGTTAATTGACGATATTTATCTGTTATTTTAAGTGCATAATAAATCGTTTTGAAGAAAATTCGAATACGACTACCAGGATTTTGAAAAGACGGACAAATTTTTCATTTGATTCTGTTCGCATTTCGCAGAACCACGTCTATCTTACCTAGACTTTGTTTGTCAGGTCTAATTTTATCAAGGTGACTCAGCTTTACGGACAAGCGCTTATTTGAGATATGGCTGTTTTGTCGTTGTTTGACCCCTTAATACTGGAACATATCAACTGTTCTGAGTTGATCAAGAAACATGTAGTCCATATAAACTTTCAGAGTCCTAAAACGATTCCGAAAATACGGCCTCTATTATCATCTGATTATGGTAGTTTCAAAATTTTGCTATTGATTGCTAGATTATCTTGCTTTATTAAAACAGTTAACCGTAGTTGGGAAGATAGAACAGAGAGAATTTGATGGTAATAAATATTGAAATTAACATTCTTCATTAGAAAGATTTTCTTTGATGGCCTCGTGCTTGGATACATATTTTATTGTCGTTTTAGAAGATGCTACAACAAGTAGAATCATTGGAGCAGCAACTCTCTTCATAGAGTTAAAGTTCATTCACCAATGTTCGAAGGTAGCTGTAAATTTACTTGATATGTTTTCAGCGTGGTCATATTGAGGATGTTATAGTCGATTCAAGATATCGCGGGATGAATTTTGGAAGACTGTAAGTTGCATTTCCACTACATAATGGTTCCTCGTTAAGCGTCACATGATTTTAAATCCTGTAGATAAGACCTCCGTTCTATACAATATAATGCTGATTTTCTCTAACCCTTCTCATAATCATACTTTTTAAAAATTGATTTCTGATAGCACCGATTAGATCCCATTATAAGTTCAGTAAACCGTTAATTTAAATGTTTAATAAAAATCGACGGGAATAAATATGTAGTGAATGTGATTGACCCCTGTATTGTTTATAAGTTTAAGGGTTACGGCCACCCAACTTGTTTTTTATTTTTCTGCTCAGTCAAAATTTACCAACCGTTTTAGACTGCTCACACAATTTAGAAAGTATCTTTTCGAGGGTTTCAGTTTTCATACTAGTTTTTTCTGTCTGTAATAAATTGCAAGTACTGTCACATATCTTGTATATCAATCTGATCTTAATATATTTACTGACAATACGAAATGAATACTCGAAATTTCAAATTGCACTAAAATATTTCGCTGGAGTAGAAAGGTGAAACAAACCCACTAAAAGTACAGACATTCTCAAAATATTTATGTTTTAAAACATGTTGAGGAATTCAAAAAGGGATAAATTTTATGAAGATTCAGTCAGTTAGCCATCAACAACTTAGAGCCTGGGGCAAATTTGCACCGATCAACGCATCACCCCAAATCTGTAAAAAGGTGGGATTAACAGGATGAACACCAGATGAGTTGAAATGTGTCAACAACAGTATATTTTAATAAAGAAAATACGGTCTGCAAAGCATAAGTAGAATAAGGGAATTGGAGACGTGAAATCACATTCCACTCAAACTTAGATAAAGGGAGTAGTAGGCCCATCTATGCGAATGTGATATATTTTAAGTTATGTGGCTTAATGTTTTCAAAGTTGGTTGCAAACGCCGCATGGTTATCATCCAGACAGTCTCTGTCTATCAGCATGACTCATACCAACAGCCGATGATCAATCGGGCTGATGTATGTCTTGGTTTAGACTCCTTCAGATTTTTTCCAACCTAATCATTTTCTGGCCAACACTGCATTAAGAGCTAGGCGCTAGTTGAGCAAACATAATACATTTTTATACCATCACAGTTGATGAGACTCATAATCTCACTAACCGGTTTCATCTGTACCTACTGCTTTTCGTCTAAGTTCAACATTCCTCAATCCTCTGTACCACCTTATCTTAGCAATGCTTCAAAGACATCTGCAGTCAGATGCTAGTGGCCTACCAATTTTCTCTACTTTCGAACGCTGAACTTCATAAACGTAAGGTAAAACAGGGTGGATTACTGTTCGACATACTCGTCCTTTGATGGTAGAAAGACATCTCTGATGGCAAATTTGTGGGATATTCGCAAGAATCAAGTGAACTCTAAATCCATGCCCACCAACCCACGAGGGCTGAGACTTACAAGTGATGCAGTCAATGCCCTCAATAAATTCATTCCTTATAACGAATTTAAACATTATTACAGAGAAATACTAAAGCATTTTTCATTTAGGGGGAGGGAAATGCTCCGCAGCGTCCTTCAGGACTTCGATAAAGTTTGTGAAGGAGTGCATTCAGATGTGTGAAAACTAAATATATGTGCATCAGATTCGTAAGATTTTGTTGAGAGAAGCGAAACCCAGGGACTCGTGAAACTAAAAGTACAGTTGAGTAGGTAACTAGTTAGTAATCTCTTCAGATGTGTACAATATCCTGCAGTGGGCCAAATGCAACACTGTGTTTATCCTACTGATATTGTATATAATAACACCTTGGACCTTTTTTATGCTACAGAGCCTTAACGTATTGGTAAAGTTAAAAATTACTGCTGTTGAGGTAAAACGATATAAGATATTAGAACGTAAACAATAGTTATACAGCGATAAATGCTTAGTTACTTCCTCTATCTTACGTCTAAAGTGCATGAAGAGAGTTCCCAGTTGTTTCTTTCTGGCATTCGTGTACAAATCAACGGATGATTACAGTTGAAGCCAAAATTTCAAAAACAGCAGTTTCAGACTAAAAAAATGGAGTTGTTTGTATGACAAGATTTGTACGTTGTAGAATGCCTACAAAACGGTGCCTTCCAACTGTTCACGTCTGGGAAAGTAAGACGAAACTTATAATTAGTACTTCATTGTACGACTTACTTGAGAGTAGTCTACAAGGCCTAGTAAGTGACAGTTTAATTTATCAATCATATTAAGAGGATTGTTGTCGACATGAAAAAGTTTCAAGGCTCTTTTTCTCCACGCTGTTTCCTGTAGTTGAACGTAAACGCAGTTCATGGCGTCAGAGAATAAGAAAACCTTGCGATTATTACAAATCAGTTCGACTACGTCTTAAGATATCATTCTTAGGCCAATGCCACGATGCGAACTAGTTATGGTGTAATAATTTCTGTTTAAACATATATTGACACAAAGAGGCACCAAAATAAAAATGTCCCACACAACAAATAAGGTTGTGAAGAGATAAAGGAGGGTGAGGATAATAAAAAAGTAGGGGGAACAATAAATGAATAAAAATAAGCAGGATTTCCACTGGCTTTTATTCTGAGACATAACTGATAATATCTCAAGCTACTGTATTGCACTATCTTTAGAACCCTAACCAGGGTGCTGTGAAGGTCAGACAGGCATCAATCCTGTAGTCTTTTTTCATGCCCTGGAAACATCTCATGAACTGATCACCTCTGCTTTCTCCAGCCAGCCCTAGGGTCGGTTAATAGTGCATGATGTGGGATGACTTGCTTAATTAATGGCTGGATTTAACAGTACTGCTTCTTAATATGTTTAAAACAGGTATATCTAAACCCAACATTTTCATTGTTGTGGATAAACTGGAACAATCATTTGGCTAATATTGCCTGAAAATCTAGCGGAACTGAGCAACCGGTATTAAAAAAAGAAGTGCACTCAACTTCACCCAACTTTATAGTCTAAGGCATTACCACTGGGTTGTTCAAGCTCCAACTGCCTGTAGAACTGAAATACTTACAATTGATTGACCAGTGAGTCGTGTTCGTATAATGCTTTGATGCAAGTCCAATTCCATAGATCAGGTTGAAATGTGGTCATTGGTCTAAGAGACTCAAAATTATTCTTATATTTCGACACACATATACACTATCTAAGCATGTGAAGTGATGTATCTATAACCATTAATGAATTGTTGTTATATTATTTGAGAAACATAAAAACCCAGTGATTAACTTGTTTATATATTATTTCCAGACTTGTTGATACCCTGGTTCGTATAGGAAAACATATGGGATGTTATAAAATTTCACTTGATTGTAGCAATGAAAAAGTTGGATTTTATGAAAAATTAGGTTTTCAATGTAAAAATAATATCATGTATATACGATTTGATGAAAATTAAAACTAATGTGAACTTTTGTATAAAAAGAAATCCTGAAAACAAAAACAAAGTCTTTCAGAATGTTGAATAATTTCCGGGAAATGTTTTCAAGTTAATAATAATAATAATGACACTTATAAAATTCAACTCTTCTGTTATTTAGAAAGAGCACGGGTTCCTATTGCCGGGAAATTTCACTAGTATATATATTAAAACAATTGTCTGTAATATTTGTGACATAATTCCCACTATTTCATGCACATTATTATCACACATTTCTGATGACGAATCCTCATATTAAACATTAACATCACACACACACACACACTATACACAATTAGATAGACAAAAAAAGTTTCTGTTTCTAAAATAGAATAATGAAGAGAAAAACAAACAATGTAAGTTAAACAAGTTCCAGGAATTTTCTAATATGAACACTTGTTTAATAATTAATGTTGGTCAAGAGTAAATGTATCACTGGAAATAATATCAACTTTAATGAAAGACACCTAAAATAATATCCATATTTATGTATGTTTAACAACGTTCCAATGCTGCAGTCCATGAATTAAATGGTGTCAATACACTATAACCATCTAAACGTGAAAGTTCATCTCGATGTACTTGACTTGATTGAGCTAATTTACCAATAAGTATTGCTGCATTCCTTTTAGTATCTAATCGTTGACTTTCCTAAAATGTTGAATTATCAACAACAACAAAAAGAAAAGAAAACCGGTTAATAGTATTAAAACGAATGCATAAAGTATACCTATTCTATTTGAAATTTTACTAGCTATCAATCACTAACAATAGTCGTGGTTGGGCCACGTGTTACGTATGCCCGAACACCGATTACCACGACGTGCAATGCTAACCGGTGTTCGGGATGGTTGGAAGAAAGTTAGGGGTGGCCAAACCAAAACGTGACATCAGAGCTTGAAGTCACTAACTCCTGGTCTGAACCATGTTGGTAAATACAGACTACTTGGTTGGGGTCCGCCTGACTATCGTAACCAATGGTTGGAGACTCTTGGTGACATGGCTCAGAATCTATCACAATGGCGTAAGTGTATACACTCTGTGTCTTCCCTTAAACTAAGAGATTAAAATCGCTTCATATCTTTCTTTCTATGAACTAATTCTTTCTTCCTGTACTATATCCTTATTGCAATCTTTCTTTCATATATTACCACCTCTGCATTAACTACTTTTATGAATCCGGTGTCCATCTTGTTGTGTTAATGAGGTATGGCAACTTGGACCGATGCATATATGTGCCTGGTCCTACGTTGTAGCTGACTAACTGAATAGTCGTAATAAAATTTGATTGAAATAATGAAAACGAAATATCTCATGTAACTAATTCACCTGATGAAATTATACTAAACCTAGTATGTATATATAATATAAATATTACAATAATCAAAACAATAGTGGGTTGTTTATTTTTTTAAAGAAATTATCTCTGTATTGATTATTATTTCTTTCAACTTACTTGTATCAGTGATAATAAATCATATATTACTGAAGTACCTTGAAGATGTTCAGCTAATGGTGTATCTGAAGCACAATGTTGTAAAACTAAACAAACATTTCCTGCCAATGGTTCATCTCTAGGTGGTAGTTGATTTGATGAAGCATTCAATTTACAAATAACTGGTGATTGAATTGTGCATTCCGATAATCGTGCACGAATAAAACGTGCTAAACGTCGAACACGTCGTCTATCATCACCAATTGCATAACGTAAACTAACTGAATGATTAGTACCTAAAGCTAAACAACGAATACATCCAGTAATTAAATGAGATGTCATATTGTTTGTTTCATTTTTCGACTGTGAAATATTTCCATTTGATTGTTGTTGTTCGCCATTTACGGATGATGGATTGACAGGATTACGTTTAGAACACGAATCTAATGAACTATTATATATGGGAGAAAAAAACATACTATGAATAAATTTGCGGCAATAACATAAAATTTTGACAACAAAAATAAGAGAGGAAGTATCCCCATGTAAGTATTAGATTGTCAGATGACTTTCATAGATTAGTCGTCAAGACCATGAAATGTTTTTAAATGACGAACTGTTTTAAATATTTTCATTGTTATGCTCTACAGTGACAAGTTCAAAATTACTGTATTACAAATAAATCAAGAAAGATTAGTTCATCCAAAAGTTCTCATCACGACGAATTCATTTTCAAAGCTGTACAATCACAAATATATACTTACTTTCTAAAATAATAATGATTACAATAATAGAGATAATAAAATTCCTTTTTGCTAAATATGGTAATAGTGGGGCAAAATAAATGAAAGCATACAGAGGTAAGTAGAGAGCTGTCAAAAACAGTTATCTTGCATCTTCTTAGCATTGCTATGCATCTGGAAATACCAGAATTATGTGTCCAAAAGGAATTTGTACAACCTCTCCTTCTACCATGATTTAAATCTCTCGTATTTTTTGTCTTATCTCACAGTCATCTGCTTCCCTCTTATCTTCTCTACAGAATTTTTACTCCTAAGCGTTTTGTTTTTGTGATCTTCCTGATTGCAGTTTATCTCAATTTCAGCAATTTATCTTATCACACTGAACCTTGCCTTTCATGATGAATATTCAAGCTCTCAACAACAAAACTATTATTATTTACCCTGATAAAAAAATAACGTTATTTTACCTCACTATTACCATGTTTAGCGAAAAAAGATATCACTATCATTGAAAGTAATATCATTTCAGAAAAATAAGTATGTATATTTGTGATTGTACAGCTTTGAAAATGAATTCAACGAAAAAGGTAGAACTCTTCACTGAAAGTAATCTTTCTTACATTATCTCTCAATGGATATATTCCGTATTATAATTAGTCAAAATAAGGCATATATAGACACGTAAACTAGACAAAATATTAAATTAGTGAACTTTTGCATTTGGTTACTTAATTAATCCGATATAGCATTTCTTTTAATATGCATTATGTTTACAAGATATATGGTATTCTATTGATTGGAACTAGATATTTCATAATGAATTTTTCTTATCTCTTTGCTTAAAATTACAATTCAAATTTATAAATGACATATTTTGAACGTATTAAACCCATAACCTACATAAAAAAGTTTACTATTTTAGCATTTAACATTGTCTAATTCACTTATTCATCAACGTGTCCATGGCTTCTTTTGTCCAATGTAATTAAATGTCTGAAATTCTGGTTGGTCAGTGTCTCAGTAACTACGACAACGATTGTTCAATTTCACTAAACTATGTAAACTAAGGCTATTTTTTAAATACCTTATATCGGATTATGACGATATGATCAACTTCATTCCCCAAATGATTTGATAAAAAAAAACCAAGTTTGGTGTTATTTCAATAGATGCATCAAGATTTATTCGATATGTAACTAGAAAGTGAAGATATTATTAAGGTCACAAAATTCTTTTAACTAAATCACAAATTTATGTTGCCAAAATAAAGTTTATGTAAAAGAAGATTGTTTTCTCGGTACTCATATTGAGATATCTTCATAAGCCATGTAACACGGAAAGTAAATGTATTTCCTATAAGTAAAATAATCAATCCCTTCTACTACTAGTCTTATAAATACACACTATCACAAGCTACGGGAACGATATACACTAGTTCCTTTCTAATTAATGTTTACACACCTCATTCAATACTATCATTTAAATCACGAACCGATCAATTTTAGATCACCATTGAAAACCTGGAGGCACTGTACGACCATTTCCTCTTAGTATGTGGGATTCCTCAGAAGTGCGGACCAACGACCCTGCACGAAGGATCGAACCCATGACCTTCAATCTTGAGCGCGAACGCTTAACCTCTAAATCACTGAGTCAGGATCCGACAGTGTTAATATATAAATTCAATCATTCTATAACATTGCCCGACCATCTACTGGATAATTGTCTCACACCCGACACGATTTAACTTCACTGGTCACAACTAACTAGAATTCCGGAAATTTTCTCTCGAAGCTAGTCACTAGTGATCACATTATAATTGTCAGTAAGGGGTTGTGAAAATTCATGATTTCAATAATATTCAACAAACTTCACAACCCCTTATTGACAAAAAATAATACTTCAACTTCAGTGAGTTATCAATATTGTTACTATCACAAGCTAGGAAAACATATCATAGTAACATCATCCAAATTTGAAACTTACCAGCTATCTAAAATTGCAAGAAGTAGACGAGTTCGTGGTGTTAATTCGTTAATTGACTCAGTTGTATGCTCTCCAAACCAAGATGTAAGCTAAATAAAGATAAATTTGTGCATCGCTACTAATACTATCATTTGATAGAGTGGAAAACGTTCTTTATAGTTATGGAACTCTACTGGTGTTTAAATTGATATAGAATACAGTAAGTATGCCATACTCGAAAAAAAAAAATTTTCTACTTTTATCATGGCTTCAAATCATTCAAAGGTACAAACATAGTTTATTTATTTCAACAAATAGATATTGTTACAAAGGGGCACCAAATACATATGCGCCACACAAATCTCATTCGATATGTGTGAGGGTTGTGATACTGCTCGGATGCCCAAACCGAAGCAGGTGGGTTTCTTAAGAGGCCACGCCCCAAATCTTCGACCTGAAGGTCTGATCCACAGGGCAGTGGGGCATCGTAAGGAGATGCAGTCCCATGATAGCCGGTGACCAACGATTGGTTCATACGCCATTTGTTCCCGCAGGATACTGGGGCCCATGTGCACCATTGGTTTGGAATCCGGTTAAAGCGCCGGACATTCGCTTTTTGTCCTCTCATTTTCGTAAACAACACCCCGCCACGAGAAGGCAGTGAGTAAGACTTCCCTTCACGTAGTTGAAATTCTTTTACCGTATACTAACCAGGAATTTTCATTCTTTCATATTATTAATTCCTTTTTGAACTAAATTACTCATAAATAAAATAACATATTTTGTAATATACCAATGAGTGGAAAAATTAAATTTTTTGACATTTTGTGACTCACTGTAAGCTACTTCTTTAGAGAATATAATTTCTTATGCTTAATTCGACATGATCATTGATCATACTTACTTTGCTTGATTTGTTGATTTCCCTCTGTCCTATTGACTCGTACAAAATGTGACTACAGTTCGATTAGTACACAATTTTGAAAATCTCTTCCATTGTTTTCAACTTACTATTAACTGGCACACTACTACTATTTTTTTTAAATCCGGAAAAAGGAAAACTGTCAAAAAAAATTCACATTCACCAAACTTGATCACTTAGTTAATGTTAATATTACTTACTTGATTAGTATCATGACACAGAGGTAATAATCTTCCGGCTAAAGCAACAACTACAGCTCTCAATTCTGGTCCATGACCAATTTGATCTAAAATAGCACCAATACCATTCAGTAAAGAATTAACTAATTTGCTTGATGTTAAACAAGATGTTGAACAATCATTATTTGGAGTATCTAACAAACTGAAGCAATTGTTATTAGTCACCATTGACTGATCCAATTGTCCAACATAAATATTATGTAATAATCGACAGATTGAAGCGATTAAGCAAGCATGACTTGATTGAAAATAAAAGATATATATATTAATGCATAAATTAAATGATCACAGAAGTGAATTGATGAAATACAAGTATTTTTACTTGAACAATTAACAGGAATTCAATGAAAATATTAAATTTGACTGGGATAACTATATGAAAATCTATTCTAGTATAAGAATGAGATGAATGATTTAAATTATGTTAAAATGAATTAAACAATTTATCTGATCCGTTCCTCTCTCTCTTACACTCTATCTCATCAATCATTAATATAGTTTTGATGCATATCGTATGATCTAGGAAGTTATTTATCGATCTTAGAAGATATAGATCATTAATTGATTTATTGATTCATTCATATTTGATAATTAGAACTAAACACTACTACTAATATACAACATAGTTTTATTCATAGGATATAAAGTCAATGATTTCTGGTTAATTATTTCAAGTTTGTTTGTCTTTTCTTTTGTATGTAGGTGTGTGTGTGTGTGTGTGCAACAATTAATTCTGTTGATATTCTATTTTCATTATTTATATTTCGAAAATTTAGGTGAACATATGAATTATAGCTAGCAGTGGAGTATAAGATACATCGCTCTAAAGGTCTTAGGTGTTATTAAGTCAACTATTGAATTTAGATAGTCACTAGTTAAAATGTTATTTCAATAGAAGCAACTTTAACACATGTTTATGTATTCTCTTATCAGCTGTACTAAATGTATATTGAATTAATGAATAAAGAAAATGATTAGCATGGTCGAAGATAACACTCAGATTGAGACTGTAAAGTAGAGGTTAGTAAGAATTGTATTTTTATGAAGTTAGTTATATATTTCGTAGAATCTATACAGTGAATAGTCTAAGGAAGTTGAAGGGAAGAAATGAAACTAACAAACAAATGAGGACAGAGATTTTTTTAAAGAGTGGTAAATGAATGTCAGATGACATAAAGTAGGTAATTATTGACTAGGTGAATTAATATAATCGGATAACGAAAGAGATTTTAATATGCGTTTGAATGAGGGGTTCGAGATGAAAAGTTATGTAACTAGGTGTTTGAAACTCACGTTACAAATACTTGCTAACAATTAAGCAGATAAGAGTGATTCCACTGTTAAAGAGATGATAACTGTTAGATTATGGTTTCTGTCGTTTATGTTTGGAGATGCAAATAAGAACCCAGTTTTCATTTACTTCAATATATTCTTTTATGCAGAATTGTGAATTGGTATTCACCAATGGTAAGTTGTTATGATTGTCTTTAAGAAAACTAGTATAGAGTTCGAACTACTTCAATTGTTACACAGATGATGACAACTCGTGGGCCAAGTGAATTTGTACTATTCCACGACAATTATTACTTTTGTGTTCTACTAAAACTTACGCAACGCAATAATTAGAGAAAATATATTTAGTTGAGAAAAACTATACAGTTAGGATCATTTATTTGACATAACTTCACTACCATGTCATAGATTTTAACAGTACTTGTGACAATAAGGTAGGTTTATAACCAAATTGGTATTAATGGAGTAAACTTCGCGAAGCAAACGAAGACCACTTCATATTCAATTCACAAATATTCGTAAGTGCAACATCGAGTCACCAACCTTTGGAAATGATAATAAATAAGACATTCATAGCCTTTCAAACAATTAATGGCAAAAAAATGAATCATTCATCAGTGTCATAAATGGAGGCTCCATTATCTTCCACTTTATCATGAAATATGACTCAGTCGTTAGTGGCTCTCAAAAAAGCGATGAAATACACTTTGGTAAATGAGATTAATGAAAATATGGTAATAAATTATAATACAAGTTGAAATAATCGAACAAACCTAGCATCACTCAGCAGTGGGACATGATATGAAAGACAATTAGATAATCCGAATAATAAAGATTTACGACTTTGTAGAATAGTTTTTTGAAAAGTACGATCTTGGCAAGCATTGCCTAAACTGTCTAACAAAGTAGCTAGACACTGACATGTTGTCGGTGATGGTTGATTGGTATTAGTAGTTGGAGATGAAGAAGTTAAAGCAGACTCAATGATTGACAAAAGACCTTGTAAACCTTCACTAGAAGATCGAGCAAGTATCTATGAAGTAAAGGATACACATATTTGTTTAGGAAAAACTATTAGTATTAAACATAGTGAATTATATTTCAAGTGAATTACACACAGAAAAAGTCGGATAACACACTTGAAAAATTAAGTGATTGTTTGCAAAATAACCAAATACGTAGATTTAGGTAAGGGTTTTAAAAAGTATGCTTGATAAATTCTTCAACTTTAATTTTTACCACTGTTCATTGTATAATGATTTATTTTGGATAATAGGTGTAGTATGAAGTAACAATAATCAAATACAACTCGTTGACTATGCTTAACACTCATTCATTTCTCCAAGAAATATTGCAATATTTATTTAAACAGGAGACGATAAGTAAAAGAGCTTAGAATCAGTTACAATGGTCTAAATGCATACACTAATCTTTATTTTACTCTAGATTATGAATTCCAGTATTCCACAATAAGTACCTTTCTACTCCGACTTTTCAAACAATATTCTCAATACTTGGTCTTTCTATATTATCGTTGCTAATAAGTTATTTCGATACCTCTGACATTCATACTGTTGATTTAATCTCGCCGAGGTTATGTGGTATGGAAACTAGTGCTGATGCACATTTGTATCGGGTTCTACAATGATTATAACTTATTTTCTAAATGGGAAATATAGACAGATAGTTGTTCCTTGATTTCTGTGGTCGCGCTCCTAGGTCGCTATGATCATCGCTAAACCAGTTTCTTTTTCAAGTCCACCACGAAGATATCCTTCACGAGTATGGGTAACTCAGAAGCAAATACTGCTCCCATTCCGCTAGAAGGACACGAGTTTAAATCTTCATTATCACATTTCATCTTTATCAACAAATATTATTTCTACTTCTATTATTACCCTTTATTTTCTTTCACTTTAACATTGCCACTTATGCTAACAATCCGAGTTCATAAAACGTTGTCCCAGGAAAAACATTCAATTATTTGTGATCACCTACATATACAGTAATAAAATATAGTGTGCAGTTGGATTATTTTAATTCAATTAGGTTCTAAAAGAATATTGTCATTACATAAACTAACATACAATAGACAGTTTTTAAATGACAATAACATACTAGTTATTATTAAATAACGATTAGTATCATTTTTTAGAAAAACAGGAATAAGTTTATTTGAATACGTATAGTTAGTAACAAGAAACAATTAATAGCAAGGGATATCTACAATTCTGAGGATTGGAAATCGTTTAAAGTAACACTAAGTACATACGTCAGAGATAAGAGGCCTTGAAACGCCTATTATCACAGTGTAGATTTAATAAAATACTAATAGGAGTTTTGTATACTTGAATTGTTACCGACGTTGCAGAACTTGTAGGGAAGGTAACTGAAATGAAGTAAGAGATGGTGTGATAATGAAGACAACAGTGCACAGATAAATTAGATAGATTTTCTAAATCAGTTATTTGGACATTTATAGGAACTTGCGATTGTCAAGCGAAACGGTGGCTTAATCGCTGAAATTTTTACGAATATAATTTTTCACCTTATCTTATTTTGACATTTCGCATTGAATTTGAGGGTGGCACTTCAAAACTTATATTTTCAGTAGCTAATTAACAAAGGACATTCCTAATATTTTTCATAAATACTTAAAGAGTTACTGGAAATATATTATCCTAATTTATTTACCAGTTATTTCGCATTCTTCAGTACATTTTGGCTAATTACATAGCTGAGTTAATATGATTAATAACCAACTAACAAATAACCACTGTTCACCAACCGATCTCTTATTCTAATATGATAGAAAATATTAAAGAAACATTTCATCTATCTACTTGAATAGTATAAAGTTGATTTTCATAGGCCCAGGTAACAAAAATTTTTGGTGTCATATCTTTTTATTACTCTTCATACCTTTACTATGTCTACTATTCTGGGATTTGTTCTAACAATTTTATTTCACTGTGCTAATAAGGTATGGCAGTTTAAACCGATATACATACGTACCAAATTTTGTGTTGCAACTGACTGATTGACAAGAATTAATAAAAACGTAAATATCAAATATTAGAGTATAGCTGTATTATTCATACATATAGTCAATCTGTATCCTTTGTTACACCAAAATATAGACTTATTCACACGAAGTGATTGACCCAAAATATAAAATCTTATCAATAAACAGTAATTTATTACTTACAAAAAGGTCATATATTTATATCCGGTGATTTGTGAAATACAAATATGGACATTTTACCAATATGTATATTTGGTTTGTGAGAATTTAACTGTGTGTGCTTAAATGGACCTATATCTCTCAGTACTGATGTGAACAACAAGATTTAGACAGAATGTATACGGTAGTAAATACCAATTTTCAGTTAGTTGTTAGTCAATCATATGTAACACATAGTCTGGTACATTTATATGTATCGGCCTACTTGTGGACAATTTAAAAGTGAAATTAGTGATTTTACACTAAAAATACATGACGTAATATCAAATCCAATTGATTCTATAGATAGTAATATAAACGATAAGACACCACTAGTCATAATAAAGAGTTTAGTTGTAGTATATTCGAATATCTACAATTCGTTGGTAACTGGGGTAATAATCTATGTGATATTTGTCTAATTCTTTAGTGTTGATCACAATCCATCAACCAGGTTGCAATATGATTATTAGTCTACAGCGACCCGATATCATGGGTTTCCTGTAAACTACCTTCAACCACCTAATATATCTGAATATTAGGTAGTTTATATCACCAAAAACACATGGTCACAATATATTTCAAATAAGTCAAAATATTAGCAAATAATGCAACGTATTGAAAAGAATAATGATCGAGTTTGTAGACTGTGATGACCAAATCTAGTCATATTGGCCGTAACACATGCCTTCACGTTCTACCACGCTATGGAAGCTTTTCAGAGAATAAAAGTGGCAAACCTAAGGTTCGAAGACGAAGTCACGGTGTTTAATATATTGAGGTATGACAACAGTAAAGTGTTTCTTTCAGACGAAAAGAGTATAAAGTGATGCTGCCTAATCGCAACGAGTGAAGAGAGGTTAGGAAAATTCGGCCTTAGAAAACAGTACACCTCACCTATCCCCATAGACTTTAGTCGCCATCGGTGAGATATGAAAAACATGGAGGTAACACATCAAAAAGTACTCACAAAAAGATCACGCATGGCCTGCTTTCGAGCAGTTATTCCTCGGGTTCTGCATTCACGCTTCCACGTTGTCAAGGTCATCACTAACCCTGTTTTAGTTTCGATTCCTTCAGAAGGAAGTATCCTTCCACGGGATGTGCAACCAGAAAGTAACAATCTCCCCCATACACTCTTAACAGCACTCGGCATCATACAACGAACCAGTCAGAAACGATTTCGTGTTATAGTTTACAAAAACTGGAAAAGATTCTAACTGGATATTTTAGATATTTTAAAACATTAACCTCTAGAGTTTGGTCTTTTCACATGAACACGACTAATTTATAAAGATGAAGGAAGTGTTTAAAATAACGGGGAAAGAAAAGTAGAGATAACCTTCTAAACTGTATCCTTATCTCAGTTACTGTGCATTAAACGAATAACCTATTCGCTAAGTACAAGTCTACGTACTTCGTATTGAGGCACATCATTTGTGTAGAGGCTAGTGTTTTCAATTATCTGTCACAGCCGAATTAGATGGAACTGTGTTTAAAGTTGAGACGTTCTCGTTAGCTGGAAATTGGGTACTTTGAATGACAACTGTACACTGAACTAAGAGTCACGAATTTCCCAAATTTGCTATAAGGGAAAGTAATTTGTTTTAGAAATAGACTAGAAATAGGAAACTATGTCTTTCTATTTAAATTGATTCCAGAACCTTTGGACTCCGGAAATTTCAGTACATATCCCCAAGTAGCTAGAATCTGAACTTATATAACATTACAAGCGCGCTAGTTTTTTCGAGCACCAATCATATGCTACAATATGTATTGATAAGCAATGATAATCTAGAAAATAAAATACGCATCGCCAATAAATATAATGCAGTCCAATCAATGTGTGATTGACAGCTAACTGGAATGCCACATTAGTAACATTAAGACTTTAACTGGTTGAAGGTAGTTCACAGGAAACTGTATTCGAATGAGATTTTATGTTAGTTGATACTTGACAGCACAGCGTGCCTGCAATCTTAAGGGGAATAATGCTCCATATAGGATTTGAACCTCCACTACTCAGCTTCACAGTTTGCGATGTCACTACTGAACTAATCGGGCCACGAATAACCTCCTACAGGATTGAAAAATTTACAAGTGGTTGACTACTGAGTAGTGATCAATGTCATATTTGTCTAAACTCTTAACGATGATCAAATTTCATCCATTAATTTGAAGTATGATCACTAGGCTGAGTGACTCAACACATTGGTAAATTTTTTCATGAAGACGAAAGCTAATGAAGTAATTACTAAGAATAAAAAGTACTTCTTACTTTCCAGTATTGTGGATTACATCTAATGGTTGGAAGTTACAGATAGTAATCTGAGATTGGGTAAACTACATAGAGTAAATTCGAACAGATGATTACAACTCCTAGTCAAATAATTACAGAATACCACGATTACTATGTTTTTTAAATCATACACATATGCTTTAAACTAAGTATAAGTCTGGATGGAAAATCACAATTTTACTGAAATCCCATTTAAGACTAAGGGTAAAAAGAACAAAATTATTTCCAGAAGGGGTTTTTGTAGATATTATAGTAGTTTCAATAGTTGAAATCATGAGTCAATTGAAGTTAAACCACCATGGAAAGCCTGGAAGCACTGGATGGCCGTTTCTTCCTAGTATGGGACTTCTCAGAAGGGCCCATCCACGATCCCACTCGCGAGATTCGAACCACAGGACCTATTGGTTTCGCGCGCGAATGCTTAACCTCTAGACCACTGAGTCGGTAATAATTAACATTGATATTTACACCGTTGGCTGCCGGCCGGCTCAGTGGTCAAGAGGTTAGGTGTTCACGCACGAAACCGACAGGTCCTATGTTCGAATCTCACGAGGTGGGGTAGTGGATGCGTGCTGCTGAGGAGTCCCGCAATAGGTCAAAACGGCCGTCCAGTGCTTCTAGGATTTCCATGGTGGTCTAGCTTCAATTGACTCATAAATCCAACCAAAAAATTACTTCTTTTAAAACTAATAATGAAATAAAATAAATATACCACACATGGAGGTCTAATTATGATTTCTCTTTGAATTTAATAATTAACTACTTATTAAGAATGTATAAGTTTCAGAAAGTGACGATTAATATATATATATATATATATATACTTATTTACACTTACAAGGAATCTTGAACTTTCTGTTAAATACTCCAATATTTGTGCAGCTTTTGTAGCACAAACTGAAGCTATTGTCGATGAAATTAAATTGGATTTAGCGGTGTCTATATTATTACTATTTGTTGTACTAGCTAATCCAGATGATGCTGATAAACGGCCAACTAATCCACGTGCTGCATCAGCTAAACTTGAAGTGTTTGTTGGTGTTAAGTTTGGAGAAGTCACTTGATAGGAATTGGACATTGAGGTGGATAAGCAACTTGCTAAACTTGTCAGAATAGGACCAGGTCCATACATGTCTAATAAAGATTGTCGACCACTTGGTAATGAAGTCAAATTAACCAACAAATTACAAGCAGCTAGTCTAAGTGCACCAAGAATATGTTGGCTTCGTTGTTTTTCTATAGTTAAGCTGTCAATTGAGAAGAAAAATTAAATATCGGTTATTTATTATATCGAGTTACAAAATGTTTACAATAAAAGGCTATGTTAATTCCCACAGTACTGTGGAAATGAATTAGTCAACGTATAAAAAAAGTGATTGGTTAAATGTTTGTTAGAACTTTGATTATGACTAAAACAGCCTTAATCTCATGGATTCAATTTACCCCAAGGTCACAAACAGAAATCATTATTAACAAACGAATTGGTTAAGTGCTCGCGCGCGAAGCCAGTAGGTCCTGGGTTCGAGCCCCGCGTGGTGCGGGATCGTGGATGCGCACTGCTGAGGAGTCCCATACTAGGACGAAACGGCCGCCCAGTGCTTCCAGGTTTTCAATGGTGGTCTAGCTTCAACTGACTCATGATTTCAATCTGTGAAAACGAATTGTATGTCAAGAATAAGTACAAAATAAAAATGTCGAAAATATGGTATGGTAAAAGAATTATGTTATCAAAGTTAATAATAATGGGGGGAATTTGTCTTGATACGGAATTCAACAAGTATTAATGATAATAAACAAAATAATGAGTTTCGAAAATACGAAGATGATCAGAATTTGTGACATATTAGCGCAATACACTTCGAACAATTTGATCACATATAATATATTTGACAATGTTATGCGTTAAAAATAGTTAACGTTTGCATCTGTTACGATATATATACTTCAAAATTGTATTATTTGCAAATTAGAAAGGTCATTCAATAAAGGTCAGAATGATTTAGAGTAAAGTGTTCAGTCACAATAAGTAGAATAGTATTGTAGCAAAAATGAAAGTGCAAGAAAATTGTGTGAATAAGATGCATGGTAGGAGAATGAAATCTTGTCAATTGAGATAATGATAATAATAATAATATTGTTGTGTGAATATAATATGGGGTGTTACCAAGGTAATTACAATAAAGGAATATTTTAACACGTGGACTCAAAAGATCTGTCGAAAGGACGTTTTATGCCGCCAAGCTACACATAATTTTCTCAACTAAACCAGTACTCACACAACTAATCGAGGATAGGTTACCGAGGGTGAACTCCTCCATGTGTGTATATCAATTTAACTACTCCTGTGGAGCTAGTTACATAGGCCGTACTCAGAGGGCTTTATCCTTGCGTGTTCGTGAACATGTACCAGCATGGTTGGCAAAAGGAGTTACTAAATCGACCAACAGCACTATTCTTTCACACTTGGTAGATAGTGAACATCATATCAAAATAGAGGAAGCTTACCGTTTTATATCAAGTTCCGAAATATCTACTTCAAGGAGCTAGATTACGATTGTTCTACATATCCGAAGCCATGTGGATCAACTTCAGAAAACCAAACTTATGTGTCCAGAAAAAGTATATCCAGCCGCCATGTTTGCCTTGGCCTATGACTGGATCACCGGATACCTAAACTGAATATTATAAACATCTTACCCCCTCTTTTTTTTATTACCTCTATCTTCACATTCATCATTCCCAGTTCGTTTATTGTAATTACCTTGGTAACAACCCATATTATATTCACACAACAATATTATTATTATTATCATTATCTCAATTGACAAGATTTCATTCTCCTACCATGCATCTTATTCACACAATTTTCTTGCACTTTCATTTTTGCTACAATACTATTCTACTTATTGTGACTGAACACTTTACTCTAAATCATTCTGACCTTTATTGAATGACCTTTCTAATTTGCAAATAATACAATTTTGAAGTATATATATCGTAACAGATGCAACGTTAACCATTTTTAACGCATAACATTGTCGAATTCATTAATACATGCCTTATTTTTGGCCTTTGTAAAATATTATAATTATGGATTTATAACTGTCGAGCCTGATGATGAAGTTATTGAAAACAATTGTTCGCTCAAATATTCTTCATTTTTGAACATAATATATTCGTTAAGAACATTTATATATAATTTTTAAAGGTCAACTAGATAATATTCATCTTCTTATTACATTATCCAAATCTATTAAAAGGACCAATTGCTTTAAGAGTCATGAGTGTTGATTTGTATGATAAATACGATGCTGATATGGTGTGGCTACATTTTCTAGTTATGAGTACTTGTCTACTTAATAGCGTTTAAGTAATATATTCTCGCTATCCAAAATAAGTGTGCAAGGCTGAAATCAATAATGCGAAAAAACAAGCGGTGTTCAAACTTGCTGAAAAGACTAGACCTGGTGATAGTGACTGAGTACAAGTGGATGGAAGGTTTATTGTCTTATTTCGCACACATATTGATGATATTTTCTGATATAAAACGTTTTATTGTATGAGTAAATAAATATATTTTGAAGATGTTATGTTCTTGATTCGTTTATTTGTGACATCAAAAAATACTTGAATAAAAAGGGAACAATAAAATTCTTTCTACAGTTGACTAGCAGATTGTTGTGCTGTAAAAGAATTTAGTTGGTTGTTGTCCATAAATGTGAAGTTGTTGTTTCTCTATTTGCTTGTGACTACTTTAACCTCTGATCATGAATTTATTTATCCTTTTTATTGGTTGACAGATTACGACAATTTCGATATGGTGGACGATACCTGTAGTTCAATATAAGAATCTCGAATGATGTTTTGGATTCTCCAAGTTATCATTACAGTTTGAAACACATAGCACTGAACTAGAAAAATGTCGTAATCATACATAAATATGATAGTCAGTCGCAACGTAGAACCTAGTACGTACGTACATCGGTTCATGTTACTATGCCCCATTAGCACAGAGAGGCAGATTATCAGGACAAGTCCCAGAATAGTAGAGGCAGTAACAGTATCCGTTGTGATAGAAAATATTAGGGATCAAAGATAGAATTTGAAATGTAAACTGTAAAATAATATAAAAGCCATGAGGAATTCAGAAGCCTAGAGTTTGGAGGAAGACAAAAAATATAAATACGTGTGCCATCGCAAACCATTTTGAGTCATGTCATTCAAAACCTCTAACCACTGGTTACGATAATAACGCGGACCCCAATCAGGTAGTCTGCACCTATAAAAACATGACTAAGTTCAATTGTTTGTGACTTTATGTACTGATGCCATGTTTTGGTTTAGCTGCACCTAGTTTTCTTCCATTCTGCTCCCACATTAGAAAACATCGTCTGTTGAGGTAGGTGGTGGTTGGGGATGAGTAAAACACGTCCCAACCACCTCAGTTGATGAAAAGTAACAACTTTATCAATGATTTTCCATTCTTACGAAGTACCCGATTTCTAACCCAGGCATTACTTCGTGGTCCTAAAGTATATGAGCAATGCCTTCAAGATACATACGATTGAATACTAGTAATATAAGAATATCCTCCATTTTTAACGGCCATTTTTTACGCCCATAAAGTAGGAAGGACAAAACTGCTATGCAGTAAACCCATTTTTTGGTTGGCGGACCAACATCTCACCTACGTCAGTTGGCAAAATCCAATGATAAATTCAAAACGTTAATCAAACCCTTAAATTAAATAAAACATTAACAAACTTGATATTTTCCGATGACAACGACGACGGTGTTATTGTTGAATGAAGTGTTATACGTTGAACAAACTCAGGCGATAAATTAATACAAGCAAATGTGATTTTAATTAAATTCGGTTGATGTTCAATGAGTAATCGTTGATTTTCTGCACAATTTGTTGTTAAATGATCTGCTAGATTAAGTAAAGCAAGCATTCTCTCAGATTCATCAAGTAATGAATAAGAATTGGTTTCATTTACACCATTATCTTCTTCTCTTCCACTTTCAGTTATGTCATTATTTTGATTAGATGTACTGACATTTGATTGTTGCATTAACATCTCTTTTTCATAAATATTATCTGGATTGAAATTTGATAGATTGCCTGAAAAATTCAATAATAAAATTAAACCTTTTTTGAAAGGAGATTGTTACTTGGATGTTTGAAGTCAATCAGTTAATCAGTTAAATACACATGTGTACATCAATTCAATTTATATAATATATAATATAATCAGTAGTAGTAGAAGAAGTTAAGTATAGAAAATAATTTAAAGAGAAAAAATGGGTTGACAGAATTTTTTTTAGAAAATTACGATTGTTTAGAAAGTTAGGACATAAGCGAAGAATGAGAGTGAGTGCACCTGTTCCATCGCTAACGATTTTGAACGGTGTTACAGAAAGTCTCTGACCATTGGTTATAAAGGTCGTGTTGACCCTAACCAGGTAGACTGTGAACTTACATAGGCAGCTCAGTCCAATTATCAATGATTTCATGAACTGATGCATAGTATTTAACTCTAAATATATAACCTAGATATATGAAAACAATGTCATCGTTTATTCTCTTTCAAACTGTCTTAATAATATACACTAGGGTTAATGTGTACAGAATGTTGTTTGTTCATATAACAAACATGATTGACACACGTCAGCAAGGGGAGCTTACAATCTTGAAGGAACTAATGCTGAATGTGAGATTCAGGCATGAGTCATACTGCTTCTCAGTGAAGCGTTGCCAATGAGCTAATAAGGCAGTCACTCAATCATCAACATAGTTTGACAGATGAGTGTAGACCAAAGACACTATACCATAATAGAACGAGATGAAATTAAAAGGTATGGAAAAGTATGTATGAAGAAATACAAGAAATGAAGATCGAGAAAAAGACTCCAAAATACGTCATCATTCAATATCTTCAACCACTGGTCACGGTTATCATGCAAATCTCAACAAAGTTGTCTTCATCCATCAAAACGGATCAGTAGAACAGTTAAACATCTTGTTGACTGATGTTAGGTTTTCTTTTTGGCTGCTCCTAAATTTGGTTTCATTGACTCGCTCCCACGCAACCAGTAGCCATTACTTTATATCGCTTAAAGTAACGCTAAGTACACACGTCAAATATAAGAGACCTTGAAACGTCTACTATCACAGTGTAGTTTTAATAAGATACTAATAGGAGTTTTGTATACTTGAATTGTTATCGATGTTGCAGAACTTGTAGGGAAAATCACATTTCACTTTCACTACCAAACATCAATACTATATTTACTTTATGTCCTATATTGATTATACCATAGGAATTGATTTTTAACACCAATGGTTGAAAGTTTGAACCGTGCTTCATCTACTTCGGTTTACGGAAGCAATCGGGGGCAGTATCACTAGTACTCAAACAGTGTATCTTAAAGCCGAGTACGTAAGTGATACATTACATAAATTGGATGAAAAATAAGGGAACCAGATCCAAATATGATGCTAAATTATAAACTTGTGATCAAAGCAGTATTTAGCATAACCTGACTAAAAATGACATTACTCGTGTATTTATGATTTAAACCGGAGATTTATACATCGAAATTCTTAAAATACTACAAAGTGTTAGACTGGAATATTCAATAATAAAGTTTGGAATGGATAACAATGGCGCAAAGTTAGATAATTATATGGTGTTGTATAACTGTGATTGCTTACTTACTTACTTACGCCTGTTACTCCTCGTGAAGGAGCATAGGCCGCTCACCAGCATTCTCCATCCAACCCTGTCCTGGGCAATCCTTTCTAGCTCCGTCCAGTTGTAATTCATCCTTTTCATATCTGCTTCTATTATCCGACGCAATGTGTTCTTTGGCCTCCCTCTTTTCCGCTTCCCTTCAGGGTTCCAAGTTAGGGCTTGCCTCGTGATGCAGTTTGACGATTTGCGTAATGTACGTCCTATCCATTTCCATCATCTTTTCCTAATTTCTTCTTCAGCTGGAAGTTGGTTTGTTCTCTCCCACAGAAGGCTATTGATGATGGTATCCGGCCAGTGGATGTTGAGTATCTTGCGTAGACAGCTATTTATAAATACTTGTACTTTCTTGATTGTGGTTGTTGTAGTTCTCCAAGTTTCAGCTCCATACAGTAGAACTGACTGCGTTGACGTTCGTATTGAAGATTCTCACTTTGATATTGGTTGAAAGTTGTTTTGAGTTCCATATGTTCTTCAATTGTAGGAATGCGACCCTTGCTTTGCCAATCCTCACCTTTACGTCTGCATCTGAACCATCTTGTTCGTCGGTGATGCTTCCTAGGTATGTGCAGGACTCTACATCTTCCAGAGTTTCGCCATCAAGAGTGATTGGATTGCTGTTTTCCGCTTTGAATTTGAGGACCTTGGTTTTCCCTTTGTGTATGCTGAGGCCTACTGATGCAGAGACTGCTGCTACACTGGCTGTCTTCATCTGCATCTGTTCGTGTGTACGTGATAGGAGGGCTAGGTCATCTGCGAAGTCCAAATCGTCTAATTGATTTTGAGCTGTCCATTGTATTCCGTGTTTTCCTTCAGATGTCGAGGTCTTCATAATCCAGTCGACCACCAGAAGAAAGAGGAAGGGAGAGAGTAAACAGCCTTGTCTGACTCCGGTCCTTACTTGGAATGCATCTGTCAGCTGTCCTCCATGCACTACTTTGCACTGTAGTCCGTCGTATGAGTTCCGGATAATATTGACAATCTTCTCAGGAACTCTGTAGTGACGAAGAAGTTTCCATAATGTCCTCCTATCTACAGTATCAAATGCCTTTTCATAATCAATGAAGTTGATGTACAGTGTTGAGTTCCACTCAACTGATTGTTCGACGATGATCCGTAGTGTTGCTTGATTGGTAATAATGTGGTTGGTAATAATGTGTGTGGGTGTAAAAACTTTACTATTCATAAAATTTCAGGTACAAATGAAACTTACATCAACTTCTTTACCCAGAAGACTAAATCCACTTTTCATGCGGAAAATCGTTTGTAGCTCTGACAAAGTTTCAGTGGACAGATGATTATCGCTGTTGATACTATTGGAATCATCAGACACTGGTGAGTTATGTCGCGCACCTTTGCTTTTCTTATTAGATTTCTTTTTTCTGAATTACAGTTTAAAGATTCTGAAGGTCCGATTTTCGAGTCGTGAACTGTATTGTTTAATTCTGTGATTGTTGTAGGCTTAGTTTTCGGGGCATTCATAAAAAGACGATTCATATAGCGTAACCCTGCGCTATAGTACCTAGAATTTTGATTTCTTCGAGCTAATTGAGCTAGGAGACTTAAAAGTTGTTGGCTAAAAAAGAAAGTAGGCATGTTTCTTGAGAAGTGATTTGAAAACTATAGTAATATTTACAATGAAATTTATTGTGTTAATACCTCTTTAATCTAAGACATTATTACCGTTATTATTATTGTTATTATTATTATTAGCAATTATTACCACAGTGACTTTTTTATCATTTTAGATTAGTGATTTAAGCACTTCATTTCTGATCACATTAAGTCCCGGGATTGAACCCTGTCCCACTTATTTAGGTTTGGATGGTATCACTAGCTGTTATACACAAGCAGTGTCCCAAAGCGTAGTAAATGAACTTGTGCTTGACAAACTCAATTGCATTACATAGTTATTATAAAATCGACGATTAAGATCCCTGATGTTTGTACAAAATAAGTGATAAAATCACAAATAAATACTTTAAGAAAATATCGAAGAGCATTCTAGTGTTAATCTAACACATTTTTTTTATTAAAAATTCGTAAAATAATAATAGTTAGGAATCACCCGATCGAAGCTGCTACCTTGACGCGGTGGTCGGGCTTGCCTATCGTGATGACCCAACCGAGCTATATTGGCTGGAACATATGTTCCTGTAGGTTCTACCATGCCAGGCAGGTCGATTGGTGAACGGTAAGACTAAAAGCAGCAACTCAAGGTCTGAGGGCGAAGTCGTACTGCTGACTGTAGAGGGGTGTGACAGCAGTAAGGTGTTTCCTTCGGACAACCAGCATGACAGCGATGCTGCCTTCCCACAAGGAGGGGTGGGGTTAGAAAAGGTCGACCCTAAAAATGTCACACCTCACCTTACCTCACGGATTTCCGTCTCCGGCGGTAAGGCCCTTTGAAGAACGGAGCTAACACGTCAAAAACCTTCCACAAAAAGGCCGTGCGCGACCGGCCTCAAGCAGTTGTCCCTTGGGCTCTGCGGTCACGCTCCCAGGTCGTCAAGACCAACACTAATCCAATTTCCTTTTCAGGTTCCTCAAGAAATACCCTTCCACGGTGTGGGCAGCCGGGAAGTGACATCAGCCCTCATACCCGTAACAGCACAAGAGACCAAGGTGGTCACATTCAAATCCTTCCTACACCTCCTAATACCTCTCTTATCTCCATGACTAACCCTCCTCACGTCTCTTTATCACCTCGCACCGCTAGGGCAAACGATTCGAGTACGTGGAACGCCATTCCTGGTCTCCTGAAACCACGCTCTAAACTACACGTAGGAGCTTTTAACGTACGAACACTTTGCCAAATAGGACAGCAGGCTTCCTTAGCTAAAACTTTAGAATCTCGCGCCATCGATGTGTGCTGCGTCTCCGAAACGCGCATACAGGATCCGAGTAGCGTCATTCATTTGACCTCACCATGCCAAAATAAAGAACCGACTCGATTTACGCTTCGTGTATCTGGAAGCCCTGATTCTGCTTCCCGTGGCCTCGCCGGCGTAGGTATAGCATTGAGTCCTAGGGCAGAACTAGCTCTCTTAGAGTGGATCCCAGTAGACAGTCGTTTGTGCGCTGTCCGACTGAACGGAACAGTAAGAATCCGGAAAGATAGGGACACTCGTCGTTGCCTCTTCGTCGTCTCTGCCTATTCTCCCACTGACTGCAGCTCAGATGATGTAAAAGATGAGTTTTACAGAAAGCTTTCGGACCTTCTCCGAAAAGCTAAGCGCTCGGATGTAGTAATAGTGGCCGGTGACTTTAATGCTCAAGTAGGTAAACTAAGCGATAGGGAAAGACACCTAGGTGGATCTTATGGTGTCGTGGCTCAAAGAACAGATAATGGCGACCGTCTGTTGCAGCTATGCTCAGATAACCGCCTGTTCCTTGCAAATACTAACTTTAAGCATAAGGAAAAACATCTTTTAACATGGCGACCCCCTAATTCGTCCCAACGTTGGACCCAAATAGATCACATCGCTATCAGCCACCGATGGAGGGGCTCGATAGAAGACTGTCGCTCATTCTGGAGCACATGCCTAGATTCAGATCATGCTCTAGTGCGAGCGCGTATTTGCTTGCGTCTTACTGGACGTAGGAAAGACGCTGCAAGGAAACCTCTTAGGGGCCTACTTAATGATAGTCAAGCTAAGAGTATATTTCAGGAACAACTAGGAAAACAGTTAGGCAGCCATGTATGTGATGCCCACCCCGATGCAGCATGGAATGATATCCGAAAAGCTGTGGAAACAGCAGTGATATCTGCTAGTAAGGTAAACCAGAAGGTTAGGGAGCAACACTGGATCTCAGCAGCATCTATCGCACTGATAGATGCTCGGAAACTCATTCCACCTGGCTCTGAACATAATGAAGAGCGGAGTCAGCTTAAGCGCAAGCTGACAAGAAGTCTACGCAATGATCGCGAACAGTGGTGGGTAGCGAAAGCAAGAGAGATGGAAAAGGCAGCGGCAATAGGTAATAGCAGACAATTGTTCAGACTCGTTAAGGAAACCGGAATTAGGAACCCGACCGTTAGCGAAACAATCTCAGAGAAAGATGGACATATTATTCATTCTCAATCCAGGAGATTGGATCGATGGGCAGAACACTTTAGGGATCAGTTCAACTGGCCTTCAGCCACACTTCGGTTTCCCACGATCTCCAGTCAACCTGAATGGCAAGTTAATGTAGGTCCTCCGTCCCTTTACGAAGTTGAAAAAGCCATAGGAAATCTGAAACGAGGGAGAGCAGCAGGCCCTGACAGGTTTACTCCTGAGATTTTTAAGGATGGTGGTCCAGTATTAGCAATGAGATTAACTGAGGTCTTAGGTAGAATTTGGGAACTGGACGTAATCCCATCTGACTGGTCTCAATCACTGATTGTGCCAGTCTATAAGAAAGGACAAAAGTCCTCTTGTGACAATCACAGAGGAATCAGTTTGACTAATATAGTGTCTAAAATATTAGCTTCAATAATACTTCGACGCCTAACTAAAGCTCGTGAAGAGCAGACTAGAGAAAACCAGGCTGGTTTTCGACCTGGACGTGGTTGTATAGATCAGATATTCACACTACGTCAGGTTCTAGAACACAGACACACATTCAGACGCCCCACAATGGTAGTATTTCTCGACCTTAAGGCGGCATTCGACTCTGTTGATCGTGAGGTTCTATGGCAGTGTTTGTCACTGAAAGGAGTACCAAAGAAGTACATTAACCTTATAAAGGCTCTCTACTCGAACACAACTGGTCGAGTGAGAGCTTATGGCGAACTGTCATCAGAATTGATTACCTCAAGTGGTGTTCGTCAGGGCTGTCCACTCTCCCCATTCTTGTTCAACTTTGTCTTGACGTACTTTTAGAGATAACACTCTCCTCATCTAAATTTACAGGGGTTGAACTTCTACCAGGAGGTTCACTTGTTGACTTAGAATATGCTGATGACATAGTTTTATTTGGTGAAGACGCTGACAAAATGCAGAGTCTTCTGACCACTCTAAGCAACAATGCAAGCATGTTCGGGATGCGATTCTCTCCCTCGAAATGCAAAATGTTGCTTCAGGATTGGGTTACATCGACACCCGAACTAGTGATAGGGAGTGAAGTAGTTGAGTGTGTCGACCGCTTCACTTATCTTGGAAGTCTCATCAGCCCTTGTGGTTTAGTGTGTGACGAAATCTCAGCACGGATACAGAAGGCTCGACTAGCTTTTGCCAACTTGCGTCATTTATGGCGTAGGCGAGATATCCGTCTATCAACCAAAGGACGTGTTTACTGCGCAGCAGTTCGTTCCGTCCTACTTTATGGCAGTGAAACATGGCCGGTAAGAGTAGAGGATATCCGTAGGTTACTAGTATTTGATCATAGGTGTCTTCGAAACATTGCTCGTATATCATGGGACCATCGAGTAAGTAACACAGTTGTTAGGAAACGGGTACTAGGTAAGGATGGCAAATCAATTGATGAAGTAGTGAAACTTCATCAGTTGAGATGGCTGGGACACGTGTTACGTATGCCCAACGACCGACTGCCTCGACGTGCTATGTTCAGTGGTATAGGAGTAGGTTGGAAGAAAGCTAGGGGCGGCCAAACCAAAACATGGCACAAGTCCATGAAGTCACTGACAAGTGAACTGAGTCATGTTGGTAGGTGTAGACTACCTGGTTGGGGACCGCGAGATGATAGCAACCGATGGTTAGAGACCCTGAATGACATGGCTCAAAATCGTTTGCAATGGCGCAGGTGCATCCACTCTCTGTGTTCTCCCAAATTCTAATCTTCTGAATTCTTCATGTCCCTTTTTTCCTCTTTCCAAATTTATTTCACTGGATTATACTCTTTAAATAACATCTCCAAACCCTAATCTTCCCGATTACTGCTTATACTCTTATTACCTCTACCACTACGGGATTTGAATCGACAACTGCATCTCTGTGCTAATGTGGTGTGGCAACTCGAACTGATGTACGTACGTACGAAGTTCTACGTTGTTACTGACTGACTGACTGAGTTAGGAATCGCTAAGTTAGGCAATAAGACTATAAGTAAATTACTACAAGATATAGAGCCTAGAATTGAATGGTAGTACTACATTGCCAGGTATTTGATAAAAACTTTAGAATACGTGGTTCTATAAGAACTATTTTCTGTGTTAGTGATGTCACCAAGTGTTTATTTGATGTAGAGCTGAACAACTCTGTAGTCTAAATAATTATTTGACAGACATTCGTTTTATTTCGGTCTGAACGGTTCAAAATATAGATAACAGATATACAAATTAAATCTTCATAAGAACGATTAAATTATTGGTTTTTCGGTTGACCTGCAGCAAATTCTATTTACGTACGAATGAGGATCCAGTAAGGATACGATAGATTGACGACTTAGGATGACTTATTATAGTAAGCCTATCAGGAGTAGCCAAATAAGTTCACTTGAACACAACCAGAAATGACCTGAAGGACAACCGCATATCATTGGCTAAGAAGTGGGTCCATTTTCTAAGGGATGGAAACATATATATATATATATATATATATATATATATATATATATATATATATATATATATATATATATATATATGTGTGTTTATGCATATCGTTTGGTAGCCCATTAAACTTTCTCTTCCACTCTTGTCTTTTCGCTTAGTTTGAAATCTCGCGCAAAATGAATAGGGCGTTATCTTAATTCCTACTAGTCAACTCAAGGCCATCATTAAAATATACTTTAACGAGGATTTTTTCAATGCGATGCAACGAATAGGAATTAGAAAAGATCGGACGTTTATCGCAACAACACTTAAACGTTAATCATCCATACGCTAATGGAGGTAGAGGAAACGGGACTTTCAGGATAACATTATATTTCGTGTAGACGTCGAAAATTGAAATGGGATAACACTGTTTTTATATCGCCGCGTAATGAACTTGGAGCACATAATCAAGCAAAGTAAAAGCGGTAACGACAAACCAGGTAACAATAAATGTTATTGCGGGAATATGAATCACGAAACTCTCATCGAGTTTATACTTGAGAGAATGAACTAACATGGAGTGACAAAAAATTACATCAAACGTGGTTTGCACTCCAAATGAGTTTTTAAAAAGCATATATTGGTTAATTTACTCACTAACCGAAAAAAGATAAGCCTGTAGCAACTAAAAAGATATCACAAAACACTAGATACTTCTGATACCATTGTGATTACGAATGTAAAAACTAGACGACAATACTAGGTTTAGAAGACACATATAAATGAAAGGACGGAAGGTTCAAAGAGCTAAACTTAGATTGCGGTGAAATAACAAATGATTTATAATTTTAAATAGATTCAATGAGAAAGATTAAAGAAAGCAATAAATCAGAAAGATAGAGAATTATTGATCACACTTCCTAAAAGTTGCGAAAATAGTTTCACCCACCTTTGTCATTGGGCTGAACAATGTATAACATGTGAGTCTTATTATTACTTGCCAAATGCTTATTTTGCCAAGTTTATTCACACTTTATAATTAAATGACAAAATCGACAACAAACATATTCACGTGAGTCTCCTCCACTAAGAGCTAAATTAAGTATCTTCAAAATTACTGGTGGTAACCGATAAATACTAAATGTCAACAAGCTTTACGTGGGTGTATTCGATAACAGGCTGTAATAACAAGGGTGACAAAAGTGAATTTTTACAAGAAAATTTGCTCCAGTAACCATGGGGTTTACAGAACCACCAATTTATTCAACTTTTTACCCAAAATTATTAAGAGCCAATATTATTCGATCTACGGTTTGGTTATATCTCCAGTATTGATACGAAGACTACGTTTAAATAGAACTATGCAAGTAATTTTCACGATAAAGTAAGATTCTTAAAAAAGTAGGACAGCTGAATATCTCTAACGAACATCACTACTCATAATCCATAAGTTCATATGAAACCAAAGAAAGCTCTTAGGAAACTGACGACTTATTTATCTAACACTCTACAGTGACAGGCATTACCATAGAACATCTTTATTGAAGGAAACTAATGCTGGAATTTTTTTAAAGTCACACAAGATTTTAAGAATAAAACTAAATTTTCGAAAAAATTAAAAAAAATCAGCACTGTCATATAACATGAATGGAATAAAATGAACAATCATTCGATGCTACAAATTCACTTTTACATCGAATAGACTATTGGATATGTATTTATAAATCTATATACAAATGAAAAACGTTATCTTATGATTTTACATCATAAGAAAGTATGAAATTTTAATGGAGTTTTGTTCTCTGAGCTGGATGGTTCGTTCGTAGAGCTTTCATCGTTCTTCTGAACGACATCATCAGCACAAACTTCAGATAGACGTCTGAAATCTGAAGTTTGTGCTAATGATGTCGTTCGGAAGAACGATGAAAGCTCTACGAACGAACCATCCAGCTCAGAGAACAAAACTCCATCAAAATCATCCACCTGAGCTACAAATCTTCTCCACCATCTATGAAATTTTATTTTCAAAATTAAAAAAACCAACTGTGATTGATGTTGACTGATCATTACTTTTTTTATATTGTAGTTCAGTTTGGAATTATGGGTGAATGTAATAGATTAAAGTCGACTTAGTCTTGTAAGCAATTATCAATTGATCGCATCCTAATCAACTAATTAATCTTGTAACTTTCATCGTGTCATACAATAAATCTAAAACTGTTTACATTAAAAAATGTAATAAAAAAACATTAAACAATTATGGAGCAGTCATACTAATCAGATTATATTATGGGTTATTGAATAATCCTTTTTACGTTTTAGCAAGAATTAAAATACAAGTTACAAATATAAACATTTGGATGACTATTTAGTTATTTAAAGGTCCCGAGTTTGACTCCCGGTGGAGAAATGGATTCGCACTAATGAGGATCCCCGTGTTGTGAGCATGATTTTGGATGCTGTCAAAGGTGTGGAGACAATCATCACTTTCTGACTGAACACGCTATGGAAGGAAATTTCTTCTTGACGGACCTGAAATGGAAATTGGATTAGTTGTGATCGTAGGGACCTCGTAGCTTGACTATAGAGCGCACGGCCTCCTTATGGGAAGCTTTTCATTTGTTAGCCTCGAATTTTAAAAAGCCTTACAGTCGGAAACAGAAAGCCGTGAAGTAAAGCGTGACATTTTTAGGGCCGAATTTTCTTCAACTCCTTTCCATTGAGAAGGCAGTAACTATGCAGACGCTGGTTTGCTGAGATAAACATTTTACTCCAGTACGGTTAGCCATATGATTTGACCATCGGAACCTAGATTGCTGCTTTTAGTCGCTGTTCTTCAACTGACCTGCTTGGTACGGTAAAAACAAGTGTTACAGTCGACATAACTCGGTTAGGTCATCACAATAAAAACCCCGACTACTACGTTAAGGTAGTAGATGTGATCCCACCAGCTGTATCAAACTTACTTGACTGTACTAGCAAAATATAAGAAACTACATAGATTAAAACAAAGAATCAGCATAAAACTGATATTAATGACTAAAACTAAAAAGAAAAGAGGATTAGACAAGGATCACCAACCTAGAAGGAATATTATTCGAGTTTTCATCATTCACATTTAATTTAAAGCCTATGGCTGATCGGGCGAAATTCGCTTCAGCTTTTGCATCAGCTTCTTGAGCAATTAAAGCAGCTTCAGCTTGTGAAACATATTCAATTAAATAATTTGGCCATTTTTCACTATTCAGTTTTGTCGATGTATATTTTTCAGTTTTTGATGCTGAATAATAACGAGATAATGAATATGCGGAAAGTGCTTCTGATGGTCGATTAAGGGACATTAATGCTTTACCACGATGTAAATAAACTTTAGCTAGACGAGGATTAGAAACAACATCACGACTATTATTATTCATCATTGTAGATTTTATATCAGAATTTAGTTTTTGAGCTTCTGGAAATAGTAGTAAAGCAGTGTCACAATCTTTTAGTGATAAATCAGGCTGACCAAGACGAAGATAGGCCTAAATATTAAGAAAGAGAACCCGAAAATAAAAGCATCGATGCAGGAACAACATAGGTGAATGTTTTTAATTATAAAGGTTTTTAAATTTAGTATTTAACCCTGAAAAGTGATTAATTTGTGAAAAATGTCCCCGAAAACTTAAAGAATATTGTTATTATGTGAATGTATACGTGTGTTTACGGTTAAGCTTGATAAATGTCCATAAAACTCCCTGTCGATAGATCATTGATGGTTTAATGTCCTATGAAAAACTGTACAACGCTTTTTTGAAATGACGGATGTCTAGTAATTCTCAGACCGATTATGAAAGGAAAAATTTGTGTCTTCATAATTCTAGTGTGACTAGAATAATGTTATAATATATTATGAAGCGAATATTTACTTCACTTGAAAACAGGACACAACTTACATAACAACTTTCAAATGATTTTATAACAAATAACATAAACTAATCATTAAAAGTCTACTTCTTTACAAGATACAGAACGGTATGAAGCAGAATAAGACATCAGTAAAGTGAGAAAGTCGATAACTGTTCACTAACTGATACCAGTTTAGCGTTTTAAAGTCGATACTATTGTTTTGAGGCAAGAAAGGCTTAGGAATTTTCATGGTTTCCTTTTAATGTGCTTACATGTTCATAATTGAAAAGGCATTCAGGGTTATGGCATATCGATAAACATTGACCTATGTTTAGAAGTGATCTACTCCCGCGAACAACTGACATCGTTAATGGTTTAGAAGATATTAGCAACCTGTCTAAACGAAGTAATCCTGAAATTTTGACTTAATATAGATTCATTATGATAAGAAAACCTTCCTATACACTTTACATAAACTGTTATTAAGACCTTTTAGTACCCTGATGATGTATGGAATCTATATTAATTAATGTGGAATACATCTAAACATAAGCGTACTGTCAACTACTGCTCAATTTTTGTCACATGAGACTTTTAATGAAATGTGATCTTCTGAACCCATTGAGTGATACATGAATACGGTGAGTTATTCTTACAACCCAAATACAAAAACAGTCGCATACAGACTAATCTGTTTCTATGCTTAAATTAAAAATCGGTAGTAAATTAATTGCGTGCAAGGACCTTTCCAGAGTTACATTAATCTTGATTTCTAGTGAAATCTCTATGGAGGGACAAAAGATAACCCTAATTTTTGTCATTTACATTCCGTGTAGAATAAGCAGAAAATTCTGAACTATGATAAAATAATCAGCTAATTGCAGCGATTTTTTTAATACTCTAAGAGTAGGAGACACAACTAATGCAGTCAGAACACATGAAACGTTCAAGGGAATTTAATTCAAAGTATGCATTGTTGGTGTACGGTAAGATCATCACGTATATACTACTGATAAAAAGTTGGTTTGTTGAATAATTAAATCAAATTTGAAAGTGACGTCGTGGATTTATGCAGAATGCGTAGTAAATTTCAAGGGACGAATGAAGTCAACGAATAAAAAGCACGGAATAACACATGACTTAAAATTTAAAGGGAGGTAAGGAATTAACCCAACTGCGCCACTGCGAGAGACTTTCAGTAGCCTTATCAAACATCTCTAACCGCTTAGTAGTTGGGAAATATATTCAGGAGTGCTACTAGTTCAACAGTAAGGTAAATACGAACTTTTCCGAGGTACGAAGTACAGCTCATGGTTTTTTCACTCATTCCTAGTATTTCCTCCAACAGGTTGGTGATTTCCTTTACATTTTCAGTGCATGTCCATTTGATTTAGATAGACGAACTGTTTTCCAACCTTTGTAATGAAACGGATAGAATCTTGGAGAAATGAAATACTTTATTTGCTATATGATGGTTGAATATGTACCCTTATGGTTGCGAAGATAAATATACTCCAGTATCCCACTAAAAACGGATTATAAGCAATTAATTTAACCTATGACGAAACTGGTCATGGGCTGTTTTAAAAACACCCTTCGTATTGATATAGAAAGGTGATCTGAGTCAAATAACTATATTTATTGAAACCCAATACTTACGGAAATTTAAACCTCCATGGTGTATTCAGAAAATAGTTGTACTTAAACTAAGCTTTGATAATATGGACTTTAATCTTAGCGTTAAGGACAGTGTGAATAACAGTCTCTTATTATCATTTTTTGATGTTTCCATATATCTCACTTGTTTGTGCTTTTTATGTGCACTAACAACCTAATATGTGATCAAATTGTATAAAATATACCACCCTGATATATTGTATGATTCTGATAAAAATTATTCTCATGACGAATAAGAAAACGATAAGAATGCAACACAATGTATATTCCAGTTTACTAAAAAGTTGTTAACCTTTCATGTAGAAATATAATGTGTTTTCAAACTCATTAAAGGGATCATTTGTTACACTCATGAAGGAGTTTTGTGTGAAGTTGACAGAATACTATGATGTACGATGGGTGAGAGTATATCATATATGGCATAATTCAGTAGCCACCCACTAACTACCAGAAAAAGGAATGGACCTCAAAAAAGCGTTGTAATAAATATAGATTGCTTTTCCGGCGGAGCTAAGCGGGAGTAAAACCGTAAATATATAGAGATATGAGAATTGGGTATGGAAATTTTTGTTGAAGTCTATCTAAAAAGGTAAAAACGCTGAAGGATATAAGAAGATACCATCGTGTAAAGGCTAGAACATATTATAAACCATACCTATCTCTTAATTTATTAATCGGCATGAAAAATGCTGTCAGTTTTACTTGTAGCTTACTTGAGCTCTATTAGTATATAAAATATCGTAATCCTTTGCCACATCGATTGCCTGTGAATACAACTCAACAGCTTTTTTACAGTTTCCAGCCTTGAAAAATGTATTTGCACGATCCTTGAGTTTATCCGCACGTTCTCGTTGCTTAGCTCGTCGCTCAGCACGTTCTTGTGCGTCCTGTGCAACCGCAGTCATAAATGCAGTCACATCATCCCCTTTTCCAGTTACATCATCTGTGTGGAAAAGTTCCAAAACCAGTAACTATATAACACAAGAAAATTGTATCATTACATATAGTGAATGTAAATTCATACACGTTCTTTTGTTAAATTTCCATGGCAAATATATATGAAAACTGTTTCTCATCTGAATAAGATAACGGGTAGGAATAATAAGAACAGTGTCAACTGAACTACACCTAGGTGTTCTTCGGGAGAAATGATTTTTTAACAATAAGCCTATGAATACTAAACTCATGTATAATAAATAGGTAGTCCCTGTTTAAGAAAATGAAAACACTATGCTTTTGTAATGGAGATCTACTATCCCTACTTTTACCTGATACCGTCACATATGTTTTTCTATCAGCTGTGGTGGGTTAGCGCCCGACAAAACCTGAAACTAGGGTTGGCATTTGCCAACATGTGTTACTTGTGGCTCTGGAGAGATATCCATCTACCAAATAAAGGGTGTGTAAACTGAACAACAATCCGCTCTATATTACTTTATGACTGAAAGTAAAAGACATACATGCACCTCACATTTTTGATCACAGGTGTCTTAGAAACATTGTTCATGTTTTGAGGAACGACCAAGTGAGTTAGGTACCAGGAACACTTGACAAATAGGTTGGTGAAGTTGTGAACCTTCATTAACTAAGTTGGTCTGGACGTGTCAAGCATGACAAACCACTGAAAATCTCGACATGAAATGTTGGGTAGAGCAGGAGTAACATGGGAGAAATCTGTAGGCGTCTAAGTCAGAACATGGTATCAGTCGATGAAGTCACTGACTGTTGGTCTGAGCCATTTTGGTAAATGCAGACTACTTGGTTGGGGTCCTCATGATAATCAAGATTAGTCGGGGACTTTGAAAAAAAATCGATCACAATCACTTGCAATGGAGCAGATGCATTCATTATTTATCCTAATTTTAAGCATTCTTTGATATAGACTTTTTCACTCTGTCTTTTCGAACCACATTTCTAACGTTCAACCTTCCTCACTACCATCCCTGTCACATTATTTCGATCACTTTTGCCATTCATCTTGTTATTTTCACTTTATCCTGCTTATACAATAATGACAAAGCAGGTCAGCGTACATTTGTGCCTAGTTCTATCCTGATTATGAAGGAAAAAAGTGTACACAGATCTAAACGAAGGGGTAGGAGTACAAAAGTATAGGGAAATTAATATCTATATCATTATCAACGATTTATCCGAATGTATCTAAACCGTTCACAAGTTCACGAAGAATACAAAGCATACCAAAAGAGGAGATAACAACCAGGTATGATCGCTGAACGAAGTTACATCAACTTTAGTCCATTAAGATGAGCCGTCGACCCAGAACGAGAGCATTTTTTCCTATATAAACTAGAGTTGGACCGTGGCAAAACTTACTAAAATTATTCAGAACGACCTTTCGATATAATAAGAGATCAAATTTAACTGCCATGAAGGAATCTTGCTGAATAAATTGATCATATGGGAGTGATGATGAGTAGTAATCAAGATATAGCCCGGAATCCTGGATTGGTCATGGTCCAAACTTAGTTTCACAAACAGAAATGATGTGCTCACAAATAAGTCTTACTTCAAATCCACGTGTAAATATCAAACCCCATCAGCTTTCTGGAATAAAATAGGTCAATCATGAGATGACATTTCCGAGGACGTTTATGGCAACCAGACCCTAGGCTGATGACGAGCGACCGAGTGTTCAAAGAAAGTTAGGAAGGTTTAAAATTGAAGGGTCACGATTGAGTTTCTAATTACACTATAGAACAGAAATTACAACTATTACACCTGGTTTTTAGAAATTCGTTTTGCAATTGCATAAAATTGGTGATAAGAAGTATGATGGACGTCTGATATTATGAGTTTTATCCTGCTTCGGTTTGGACACCCAGGTAGTATCCCAGCCATCACACAAATCGAATGATTTATGTGGCGCATATATATGTTTGGTGCCTTCTTGTATATCTTTTTGTGTTTAAATGATAAATAATAGTGAATTTCATCCCATTTGTATATCAAAAGTATTCATAGAAGATATTATACTTCAACCAAATGTTAGCCTGATATGTGACTAACATTTTTGACTGGTTGAAAGCTTTTGATTGTACAGTTTTCGCTTTAGTTTTTACGGCAAAATAACATCTAATCCTCATTAATTAGGCAAATATTTTCACGTGGGTAAATCATTTGTATTTTGAACATTAAGTTTACAGTCTTCAGAAACTTGAGATTATTATGGTTTTTGACTACCTTATTTCTATGCACAGACAACTGACTTGACACTCAGTAATCCGAAAATCCCCAGTTATGGAACATGAGAAACAATGATTTTCCGAAACAGAACTCTAAAGATAATACAACTTTAATTTGTCGCTAACGTAACCTTACACCACTACATTTGCACCAATATTTTCTCGGAAAACTATACTGACTGCAGTTCAGATGAAGGAAACGCTATGCAGTAGAGATGAAGCTCACATCAGCGGTGTCAAGTTTTGATTTTTGTCAAACATTACTCTTTTTACAGAGAAGTAGCAGAGACTTTATTGATGTGCATATATATGAGTTCGCTGAACATTAGTGAATGAATAGGAGTTTTCACGAGTACAGATACATCAGATTCCTGTGGAACGCTGGAAAGCGCCCCAGATTGAATGCTAAAACAGCCCTCAGAGTAGTACTCCAAGAACTTCATGAGTACGACGTGAAAATATCAGTGTAGTAGCTCCTCCTAAGGACTAAAAATATCAAGTATTTAAGGAGTACGCCATGTGAATAAGGAATCAAAATTGGTCAGAATTACAATGAGGTCGTGTCTGTTAGCCCTGAACTTATTTTAAGTGGCATCACTAAAAACACGACACATAGCGGACCTAACCAATATTGATCGTTTCCCGTCAAAGAGTAATAAACCACTAAATAACACAAGAAACACAATTCTATGCACATATTTCAAGTGAAAGACACAAACAATAAGTATTACCTAAGTTTTTTGAAGGTTGATCCAATTTATTGATAACAGATCTGTCAAAACCTATAGTTACCATAAAAAGGAAACTAGCGTTAGCACTTGCCATCACTGCACTTCTTTTTAAGAAAATCATCGGCTTCTTTACAAGCTATGCTAGCAACTGCACTGTCTTCTGAAGAAAGCCTTTGCACTAAATCGAAAACTTTATCAGCATCCTGTAGTTTTTTCAGAGACTCTTTTGTCTTCATGACGTCCAGCTTTTTGCAGGTTTGCGTCTAGACTTAAAGTACTCTGTGTGTTGGGAGGAGTGTGAGAAGCAATTTATGGTGAAATCTGGATGAAAGAATAAAAGAAAAAGTGAGCCGACGACTCTGATTACATGCGATACACTCACGTTTAATAGTCAAAACAACCAACGACAGTCAGTATTAACGAAGTGGTAAGATTATGACAATCCGATAAAGGAAACGAGTTGGTAGCGTAAAGCCTCGAATGACTCACAAACACACAGACCGCGCCCAACAAACTAACCCGTCCTTTTTAAATTTACCCCCACTGTAGCCCTTGGTATTTATGATTATTCCGTTGAGTCAGATGCCCATGGTAATCTTTTTTAATATTGACTGTGAGTGTTATCTTTCTTGAATGAGTTGACTGAAGTGCTAGAGGTTATCTCTTCTGATAGTCCTCACACTAATTTTGCTTGGAGGGCATTTTTGTCGCAAATAACGTAAAATTTCAGATCATAATGTACCAACACTTCTAGATATTTCTCAACTCGAGATACTTCCAGAGATAATTTACCGAAGTTGTATTTGTAATCTGCAGCATGTCTCAGATGGACCTTGAAGTTTGCCAATGAAATACAACGACCTATTCGAATCCTCATATTTTCCATCAGCTTATCACAAAAAAAGGTAATAAAGCAAGGCATTTGTAGCTGTAAATATATTCCCAAAGTAAACAGTTCTGTAAGTCTTCGCCATTGATGCCAAACTCACTAGTTTTACTTGACACATCTGAAGACTCTCAACCACACATTCGGACCAGGTCACGAATCCCTTCCGACTGTTAGCAAGGCTTTACAAAACGCTTCTCGACATATCTATGGCCTTGTAAATATATCTCCGGACTCCTCCATTTCATGCGCGTCAAAATCACCCAAGGCTACTTCGTGCAACACACACTAACGCTACCGACGTAGATGATATCCTACCAGCTAGTCACTTAATGAAATCAGATGTGTATATAAGAATACTGCCTGATATCCGGAACATTCCTAAGGAATCTCTCGAGAAGCTTTTCCGACGAAGAAATATTACTGTGCAAGGTGTACTGGAAAACACGGACCTTGGTCGCACTAACCCTGATATTGGGGAATGTAAATTCATCAAGCAGTCCACGAAGCTTAAAAACACATTGACTCAACAAGTGATGAGACTAGCTAAGATGGACTGAAATTCTAGTCCCCGGCTGATGAATATAACCTTTCCATCCCTCATATGGCGGCTGCAACTCTGGAAGTATTTCGTGCCAACAAATGTCGGTTGCCAGCTGGAATCCATATGCATCCTGGTAGGCCACACGACTCCAGGACGAAGCACAAAGACAATTTGGAGCTGATCATTCCAATTGTGAACTGTCTTGATCATAAAAACGTGAAAAGGACAGGGACTGCCAACTCGAAATACCTTTCATAGTTAGGCTACCTGTCCATTCACGTACGGCTCATAAAGACAAAGAGGACGGGGATGCTCACGCTTTTCAAATTGAAAGCATAACGTGCTTATACATGAACACGGCGAGTTTACCTAGTAAAATGGAGGAGCTACATGAACTCACTAATGCTAATAATGCTCATCTGGTGAGAATATATTAAAATTGGATATCTTCTCAGCTTACGAACCAGAAGCTAGCAATACCCTGGATGTCTTTGTTTCGTAATGACAGAGAAACAAGAATTGGGGGTGGATTAGCCTTATACATACTATCATGCATAGAGGTACACCAAGTTAACAACCAAGAGTTTATTAATCTTGATGAATCCGTTTGGTGTTCAGTAAGATTATCTGTAGTGGCATTAGGCCTTAACCACACGATCCTCAATGCTGAACACGAGGCACTTGAGAAAGTAGGTGTTCAATATTTAACGCGGAGAAAATCCTAACGATGGATAAAGCGGGAACAATGGGTTGAATTAATTCGAGCTGGTCGAATGGCATGGTTCGGCCATGCAGGCGTGGTCCCTGTTGGATGTTACTTCATATCTTTTACTCATATTAACCATATCGTTCTATCTCTAGCCTAAGCTTGTTCTCCATGATATATTGGTAATTGTTACGATACGATGAGTCAGTGTAAACAATGATGTGGCTTCCACGTAAGATCTTATAGATAAGGCAGCTATATCATGATAAATCTACAATTTCAGGATTAAGTCGATTATAAGAGTAGTACTAATATCATAGTAGACAATAATTCTACAAGACTACAACATAGGAGCGACTTTCAGGTAGCTCTAAAATGAGCATGGAATGTCCACATATTTAGTAGGAATCAGGATTTACTGTTGAACGTTAGTGTTCTGAGTAAGATTTGATGTTTTCATCACGAACTGACATCAGGTATGATGGCAAAATGGTATTTGACCAAAGGGGTGGGTGAATTTCGCACCAAAATCCAAAACCTGCTATCTTGAATGTGATTGGTTCGCCCCTAAATTATTGTCTGTCACGACCTTCGATTCATTCTGTATTACTTACTTACTTACTTGCGCCTGTTACTCCTCGTGAAGGAGCATAGGCCGCTCACCAGCATTCTCCATCCAACCCTGTCCTGGGCAATCCTTTCTAGCTCCGTCCAGTTGTAATTCATCCTTTTCATATCTGCTTCTATTATCCGACGCAATGTGTTCTTTGGCCTCCCTCTTTTCCGCTTCCCTTCAGGGTTCCAAGTTAGGGCTTGCCTCGTGATGCAGTTTGACGATTTGCGTAATGTACGTCCTATCCATTTCCATCATCTTTTCCTAATTTCTTCTTCAGCTGGAAGTTGGTTTGTTCTCTCCCACAGAAGGCTATTGCTGATGGTATCCGGCCAGTGGATGTTGAGTATCTTGCGTAGACAGCTATTTATAAATACTTGTACTTTCTTGATTGTGGTTGTTGTAGTTCTCCAAGTTTCAGCTCCATACAGTAGAACTGACTGCGTTGACGTTCGTATTGAAGATTCTCACTTTGATATTGGTTGAAAGTTGTTTTGAGTTCCATATGTTCTTCAATTGTAGGAATGCGACCCTTGCTTTGCCAATCCTCACCTTTACGTCTGCTTCTGAACCTCGTTGTTCATCTATGATGCTTCCCAGGTATGTGAAGGATTCTACATCTTCCAGAGTTTTGCCATCAAGAGTGATTGGATTGCTGTTTTCCGCTTTGAATTTGAGGACCTTGGTTTTCCCCTTGTGTATGCTGAGGCCTACTGATGCAGAGACTGCTGCTACACTGGCTGTCTTCACCTGCATCTGTTCGTGTGTACGTGATAGGAGGGCTAGGTCGTCTGCGAAGTCCAAATCGTCTAATTGTTTCTGAGCTGTCCATTGTATTCCGTGTTTTCCTTCAGATGTTGAGGTCTTCATAATCCAGTCGACCACCAGAAGAAAGAGGAAGGGAGAGAGTAAACAGCCTTGTCTGACTCCGGTCCTTACTTGGAATGCATCTGTCAGCTGTCCTCCATGCACTACTTTGCACTGTAGTCCGTCAATTAAGTTGATGTATAGTGATGAGTTCCACTCAACTGATTGTTCGACGATGATCCGTAGTGTTGCAATTTGGTCTGTGCACGACCGATCCTTACGGAATCCAGCTTGTTGATCTCGAAGTTGGGCGTCTACTGCATCCTTCATCCGGTTCAGCAACACTCTGTTGAAGACTTTCCCTGGTATTGACAGTAGTGTAATGCCTCTGTAGTTTTCACATTTGCTCAGATCTCCTTTCTTTGGAATCTTGACGAGGTGTCCTTCTTTCCAGTCCATCGGCACTTGTTCCTCCTCCCAAATCTTTTTGAATAGAAGGTAAGCATGCTTGTGGTTGCTTCGATGTCTGATTTCAGTGCTTCAGCTGGTATGTTGTCGGGTCCTGCTGCTTTCCCGTTCTTGATTTGTCTGACGGCCATTCTAATTTCTTCCGTCGTTGGTGGGTTGACATCTATAGGAAGATCTATGTGTGCTGCTTCGATGTCCGGTGGATTCATTGGAGCCGGCCTATTCAGGAGTTCCTCGAAGTATTCCACCCATCTGTTACGCTGTTGTTGAATTTCGGTGATTGGCTTGCCTTCTTTGTCTTTGACCGGCCTCTCTGGTTTACTGTATTTCCCTGCTAGTTTCTTCGTTGTATCGTAAAGCTGTTTCATATTTCCTTCTCTAGCAGCTTTTTCTGCCGTCGTTGCTAGTTCTTCCACGTATTTCTTCTTGTCGGCTCTAATGCTCCTCTTCACTTGTTTGTTTGCTTCTATGTATTCAGCTTGTGCTTGGACTTTCTCTGCTCGTGTTCGGCTGTTGTTAATTGCTGCCTTCTTGTTCTTCCTTTCTTTGATCTTGTCCAGTGTTTCTATAGAGATCCATTCCTTATGATGGTGTTTCTTTAGGCCCAGAACCTCTTGACACGTTGAAGTTAATGCTTCCTTGATGCCTTTCCAGTTGTCCTCCATACTAGTTTCTTCTTCTTTCAGTAGATCTTGTAAGGCTTGGAACCTGTTGTTGAGAGCTATCTTGAATTCATTGAGTTTGTCAGTATCTCGAAGGAAGGCTGTATTGAACCTTTGTAGTGCTGTTTGTCCACTTGTCCAGTTTCTTTTTAGCTTCAGTTTTAAATTGGCTACAACTAGGTGGTGATCTGAAGCTACGTCAGCACCTCTCCTGGTTCTCACATCTTCCATTGTCCTTCGGAATTTTTTGTTGATGCAAATATGATCTATTTGGTTCTCTGTAGTGTGGTCCGGTGAGATCCATGTAGCCTTGTGTATACGCTTGTGTGGAAATATTGTGCCTCCTATGACTAATTTGTTGAATGCACACAGATTTGCAAATCTTTCTCCATTTTCGTTTCTCTCTCCCAGTCCATGTCGTCCCATGATATCTTCATATCCGTGTTGTCTATTCCGACTTTGGCATTTAGATCTCCCATCAGAATAGTTAGGTCCTTTCTTGGCATTTCTCAATGATTGACTGCAGCCGCTCGTAGAACTGATCTTTAAT